AATTGTCGTTGGTCTTCCTTATGCATCATTCCACTTCCACAAGCACAGGAGGCAATGGAATGAACTACGACTTGGGCCCGGCACATTTCAGTCCCCAAGTGGCATCCTAGCTCGTCCTCAACACTTCAGAGGCCCGGTGCTGCAGATTTTCCCAGAGCCATGTGTGTTTGATTTCTTGACTGCCGCTTCCATAAACACTATGGATCCAAGCATATGAAATCCTTGAGAATGCCTATCTTTTCTCCATGTATTCTAATGATGTCCATGGGACTGGTTGATCTGGGTTTTCTCTACCTTGAGTTGCATCCATATCAAAAGCTGCAGTCCTTGCATAGAGAGGCAGCCAACAATAAAAAAAGGGAAGTTTGAGTCCCTTCTGCCGAGAATTTTTAATCAAACTCATTATCTGTACTTGGATTTATTTTGTTTTATCACTCCCCAGTATCAAACAGCATTCCGTAGACTAGAAATTCATCATGTTTTAGTAATGTGAATATTACCTATTTTGTTAATAATCAAAACTACATTTATTACAACTACACCAACTATTCTGTCAAACTCTATTAGTAGCATCATAAGCATTATCTTTAATCCTCACAACAATCTCATCAAGGATATATTCACCCCATTTACCATAAGAAATTGAGGTCAGAAAATTGAAGGAATGCGAAACTTGGGAGGCACTACAGGACTATTGAGTGGCAAAGAAGGATTCAAGTTCATCTGAGCCTGACTCCAAATCCCCACCGAATTTATTCATTTCCTAGGTCCGTGATCACAAAATATCACAAACACGGTGGCTTTAAAGAACAGAAGCATATCGTCTCATAGTTCTGGAGGCTTAGCAGACCAATAGGAAAGCCCTTTCTTGCCTCTCTTGGGTTGTAGCTACATATTTATATTGCTGTCCTTCCTCTGCGCATCACCATGCATCTGTTCTCACTTACAAGGACACCACTCTACTGATCCCTGAAGTAAAATTCAGTGGTAGCAGCTTCAAAGACCCTATTTCCAAAAAGGGTGGGCCCACAGATACCAAGTATTATGACTTGAAAATATATGTTTGGGGCACACTATTCAATCAATTATAGCCACTGTGGTCCAATATGCCTATTGCGTCCCGTGGTGTCCCAGGTGCAAAGATTCCCCCTCAAAGAGGCACAACAACAACACACACACATCTAGACAAGTAACAAGAACATAAAATATACCTAACCAGCACACCAATGGGCTCCATTCCATCTGTTTAGCTTCAGAGAGGTTACTCAATCTAATTTCAGCAGAATCTCCATCACTGTTTTGGCTCCCCAGGGTATC